GGGTTTAGGGTTTAGGGTTTAGGGTTTAGGGTTTGGGGTTTAGGGTTTGGGGTTTAGGGTTTGGGGTTTGTAGGCTTGCAAATGCGGGGGTTTCACTTCACTGGACGGCACTTTGCTGTTATCTAGTTAAGGGTTTAGGGTTTAGGGTTTAGGGTTTGGGGTTTAGGGTTTAGGGTTTAGGGTTTAGGGTTGTGTGTGTTCTGGTGCAGCCTTGCGCCTGGGGAGCGCCCCTCACCGCAGCAGGTGGTTTTGTTTACGTGGCTGCTGCAGCTGCTGCTGCAGCAGCTGAATGCATGCGACGCAGAGACCCTGAGGGCTGCGTCTCCCCCTATTGCTGCAGCAGCAGCAGCAGTACCGGGTGCAGCAGCAGCAGCAGCAGCAGCAGCAGCAGCAGCAGCAACCAGCAGCAGCAGCAGCAAAATGGCTGCACTCCAAGACACGCTGCAGCAGACACAGAGAGAAATACGATATCTTCTCGCGGAGTTTAAACATGTCCATGAGCTGCATGTAAACCCTAAACCCTAAACCCTAAACCCTAAACCCTTCTGCCCTTGGAACCCTAAACCCTAAACCCTAAACCCTTCTCCCACTTACACCCACAGAGAACACCGCAGCTCCTCATGTGTGCGTACTGCTGCCGTTGCTGCTGCTGCTGCTTCTACTGCTTCTGCTGCTGCTGTTGCTGCTGCTGCTGCTCCTGCTCCTGCTGCTGCTGCTGCTGCTGCTGCTTCTGCTGCTGCTGCTGCTGCTGCTGCTGTTGCAGGCAACTGTCGTGGGTCTGCTGCAGAGCAGCGGGCGTAGCGGTTTGCTGCGGGAGTTTTTGCTGCTGATTGGGGACGAGGAGACATGCGCCCGTCTCTTTCTCAACTCGGCTCAGTATAGAGATGCTCTCGGTAAACCCTAAACCCTAAACCCTAAACCCTAAACCCTAAACCCTAGATACTAAACCCTAAACCCTAGTTTGGGATGGGTCCGCTACAAGAGGCAGAAAACACAACAGCTATGGCTCGAAACCCTAAACCCTAGACTTTTAGAGGCTGCGGTGAATACTTTAGGGTTTAGGGTTTAGGGTTTAGGGTTTAGGGTTTGTGGGTGTACAGACGCAATTCTATCAATCCAGAACCCCAAGGCCCGCTGCAACTTATTTGCTTCTTATGCGCCGCTGCTGCTGCTGCATCACCCGCAGCAGTTTGCTGCTGCAGCACGCAGGTCAGAGCTGGGGGCGCTGCAGCCGTGGCTGCTGCTGCCGGCTCTCATGCTGCCAATCGTTCTGCTGCAGCGGGAGCAGCAGCAGCAAGCTCACCAGCAGCAGCAGCAGCAGCAGCAGCAGCAGCAGCAGCAGCAGCAGCAGCAGCAGCAGCAGCAGCAGCAGCAGAAGCTACGCATGCTGGAAGGCCGCAGTGCAGCTCGTGAAGCACTTTGTGCTGCACCATGGAAATAAACCCGGTGCGCTCAGGGTTTAGGGTTTAGGGTTTAGGGTTTAGGGTTTTGGATCTAGGGTTTAGGGTTTAGGGTTTAGGGTTTAGTTGTTTTGTTACACTGTGCAGGGATGTCTTTCTCTTTCGGTAGAGGCAGCCTGCTGCATACAAACGGCATCCCAGGCGTCAGCAGCAGCAGCAGCATCATCAGCAGCAGCAGCAGCAGCAGCAGCAGCAGCAGCAGCAGCGGTTGCAGCTGGGCTTCGCCTGCAGGCCTGGGGACCGCGCTGCTGCTGCTGCTTGCTGAGGCCCCCTACGACTCCGAGTCCGAGCTGGCGTCTGCAATCGCTGTGCGCCAAACCCTAAACCCTAAACCCTAAACCCTAAACCCTAAACCCTAAACCCTCGACCGTGAACCCTTCATCTAATCGTAAACCCTCAGTTGTAAACCCTCGCTTTAAACCCTTCAACTCCTCAGCCAACGCAACCGCCGCACCGGCAGCCTCGCGCATCGTTTGGGGGGCTCTAAGCCTCCACTCTGAGGGTTTAGGGTTTAGGGTTTAGGGTTTAGGGTTTGTGGGGATGTGCAGGACAGCGGGGGAGAGTTCGATGCTTTGTTGTGTTTGCGGCACTGCCAAGAGAAGCAGAGGAGGCGCTCCGTCATCCTGCTGTATGTACACCTCAAACGCTACCAGGCAAGACGAGGGTTTAGGGTTTAGGGTTTAGGGTTTAGGGTTTAGGGTTTGTGATTCGATGTGTAATAATTTTTTTTTTTAAGTTTCTTGTTCGCTCCACTGCAGAATAAAACCAAGGGTTTGATCCCTAGGGTTTCGGGTCAAGGGTTTAGGGTTTAGGGTTTAGGGTTTAGGGTTTAGGGTTTACAGGAGGCGGTGCATATGGCGCTAGAAGCAGCAGACGTGCCGCTAGCTGAGGAGGCCGCGGGCTGCTGCGTCGATGAGCTGCTGCGGCGGAAGCTGTGGCTAGACATATGTCGCTACATTGTAAGCCCCAAACCCTAAACCCTAAACCCTAAACCCTAAACCCTAAACCCTGATTTTGGATATTTCGTATATACGCTGCACGGGGGCTGGGACACGAATACCCTAAACCCTCGGCTACAGCGGGGCAGTCACAACTGCGGCAAAAAGGTCGAGGGTTTAGGGTTTAGGGTTTAGGGTTTGAGGTTTGTGAAGCCTTTAACAAATATTAAAAACAGCTGGGGGCTGATAGAGCCTGCTGGGGCTTAATGTAAGGGTTAGGGTTTAGGGTTTAGGGTTTAGGGTTTAGGGTTTTGAGGGTTTGATCGTCACAGGCCAAGAGCGAAGACGGGGCTTCTTTACTAACCCTAGTCGAACGCTCCAAGCAGTGCATCAAGATACAGGTAAGAACTAGGGTTTAGGGTTTAGGGTTTAGGGTTT